CATTTGCATTTTCAAACGTCTTATTATTACGAATTAGAAAAGGAGAACTTGAACCCATATAATGTAACATAGGAGCCTAAATTTTCTGATTCTTTATGCGTACCCTTAATTTTGTGAGGCTGTGTATAAATTTTGTTAGTTGATGGAGAGCTTTATATTTTCGACTGATAACAATATACTCGATGAAACGTAGTGCGGATACCGTATAACAATGCGACCTAGGCAGGCTCAGAAGCCTGTGTTATTAACAATGCACGATACCAATAATAACTGCGGCTAAATTATTCATCAGCAATCCACTGAACGTAGGAAAAACAAACTATAAAAATCTCGAATGCAACGCAATCTGGCATAGTGAAGAATAGCCTGACAGGGCCCGAATCCAAAAAAAATTATGACCCAAATTTTTCGACGAACTCCCATCGATTCCGAGGGTGGCTACCGGATTGTCTTTGGTCCAAATTCTCAACGATCTTCAACAATAAAGTAACAAGCAATCAAGCGAATGGTCCGCAGTTTGTTCCGGTTGTTAATGAGTGGTTAGGCAGACATGATTAGAAACGTGTAGCCTGTCAACCCCTAAACACATTTTCACAATAACTAGGTTATTAAAAGTAGGAAAAATTGTGCATTTCCTCTCTGATGTCTTAATGGTGAAGTCAAACGATTAAGATGAACACCGCTTTTAATAATGGTTGATGAGAACATTGGATGTCCAATTCGTCAGCCATTACCTTGTTCAATAAATCCCTTTTATAAAATCAGGAGAGCGACAGATGACGGGTTATCCATGCCATTAATTAAGAGACCAACCAGATGACGCAAAGGGCCGCATAGAGCAAGATATAAAAGCGCCCGGTAATCCGCATTCACAACGTATTTGAGGAGTTCAGAATGAGAGATTCCTCGAGAGCTGCAAATGGTCGGCTCGCTTGACCGTTTCACTTTCCACGGGAACACGTTGTGTATGGGTTTATAGAACTGCATTTTTGTTTCTGTGTCCTTGGGAATAGATTTAGGGAGTGCATAGTTTTCGCACTCTAAAAGCATCTGATGGATTAAAATTGCTGATCTAACGCGGCCGTTTGCGCCCTTTATACGTCACCCTTATTTGCCGAAAGATATTTGAGTACAGAAAAAGGCTCCATGAATTATTCTCTTATGTTCGAGGCCAACGCAGTTTGATACATTGTTGGAAACCAAGATCAAAAAAGGCTGCGTTGGAAAACACTGGCGCTTCAATTGGCACAGCCAGCGGGAGCTTCCAAGGTGACGGATGTTCGGATTGTATAGAAACATATCTCAATGTCAAGCAAATTTGTGAGCCGGATTAGCCGCTTATCCAAACCGTTTTGTGATAGGAGTGAGACCTTTTCGCAGAAAGCGTCCACGTCGAGCACAATTAGCCTATTCGCCATATCTATCGGGAGATGTTTATTTATAGTGTGCCAAGAGCACCTTCTAGCTGCTCAGTTCTGACGATTTTTCTTTTACACGTGCCAGCTTGCCCGCTCAGCTACTGGGTACGGATCTGTCTGGTTCACAGCTTGAATCTCGGGAAAAATTCCCCGCCGGTCCTGAACATAACTTGACCCGCCTGATTACAAGGCACGTGAACGTAAGCTAACCAACAGTAAAATTACGTACACGCGGAAAGCCAGAAAGAGGCTTCAAACGCGAGCAATCACGAAAATTGTTTAGTTACCCGGTGCGACTGTTTTCCGAAAGTCACCTGTGGACAAAACGTCAAGAACCAGAACGAAGCAACCATCTTGAATAAGGAACCCTACAACCGCTATGTCGAGTGATTCAAACAACCTGATACGCACAGGTGACATAAAACCCTGGACATTCGATGCGGGACTTGATTAGGTCTCGACGATTCATGTCTGTACATGTTTCATCAATGCACAGCGAGCTTCCGGTTCAAATGATATTTTGCTCGCATTGTTCAAAGATTTGGGTGAAATTCGCAGTCAGGATTGGTCTAATCTGTTTGTCTGTAAAATTACCCTGTCCCATAAAAATGATGAGAGTAAATAACAGTGATATTTTAGGAAATAGCTCGTTGTGTGTGCCAATCCCAGGTAAGTGAGCTTGATATCCTGTCGGACTCTGGTGGCTCGTACAGCCCTGATTTGGGAGCAGCAACAGCCATCTTGTGCTAGAACAACGTCTCACATTTCGGGGCACTCAAATCAGCGAATCTAAAAATGCCCCTGATTTTTTAAACCTAATGCGTTCTTTGTATTCTCAGAATTCCTGACAAGCAAGTACGCATAAAGAACCCTGCAGAAGCTTTTACACCCAGGGTGCTGGCAACGAAGATTACCCGTTTGCTTCATTCCTACTTAACATTGCGACCGATGAGGTAATGAAGCAAGTGCTCGGAAGTTTTTGGACAAATTGTAACCGAGCAAGCATCTACATTTCAAAAGAAAGGAACACGAAATTGGTTAGCTTTCCATATATCACAGAGGTCTTGATAATTATGGATAAATTACACAGATCCGCGAGACTCCGGTAGGAGACCCAAACTTTATTGCTTGCAAAAATACCTTCAATTGGAAATCGACTTGTTTTTCGTGGGTGACTCAACTGAATACTTCGTTTATGATATTTTTCAGCTGAATGTGTTTTCACAAGGATGCCATATGTTTAAGTTGGTGCAGCAATCGAGATATTTATGTAAAAGAGCAATGCAATATTATTTGTCACTCTACGGCCAGTTTACACCCATTCATGGTCATCAAATATCCTTCTTTAACTCAAAGGTGTCTTTTGTTTATTTTGCAACGGAATGGGTCAAGCGACAATATTAGATGGGAGCATGCTTCATTTATTCGAAAGCACCACTTGATTAGGAGCCAGAGTATTAGGTGTACAGAGGAATGGTTTTGCTTGCAAACCTGTGGTGGAAGCTTTTGCTTCCATGCCACACGTCATCAATCTTTTGGCGACATACAATTCACGTGATTGTCTGACGTATTTAGGTGTGCGCGGGTACGTTGAAAGAAAGTCTTACACCCCACACTTGCCGTCATTGGACAAATGTGAGTGGAAAATCTGTAGACGTAGTTATTTTGGTGCAACGAAACAAACACAGAGCATTAATCGTGATACTGCCTTCGAGGTGTGTGACATGTTTGATAGGCAGCTTTTTTTCACGGAGAATCTTGACTACATTTACACGTGATGCACGTCAGTATAGATTACGTGCAAGAATTTCTACAAATTTCAGCTTTTGTTTCTGCTTCTGGCCTCAAACGGGTTCGCTGGTATAGACAGTTAACAAATGAACTAGTAGGGCCACCTGGATGAATCCGGTCAAAGGCATACGTTACAGAAGAAGTATTTTTTTCTTCGATGGCGTTCGTTCACCATTAAGTGGATGGTAGTATTTTGGGACAGCATTAGGCAACAATTTCGCGCAGTCATTTTTTCTCTCTAACGGGTTATTCGGAGCATTCGTCAAGCTTCATTTTGCTTTTACTTCAATTGATTTGCGTGATTTGTTGGAACAAAGTATACAAAATCAACAATTCATTTTTTTCTAGTTAGAGTGCAGGCACTTTTTCAGAACGGGTACTCCATAAATTGCAGTTTGTGCTACCAAGTTTATGGAGTAGACACTGACCGAGCAATTGGCGGTATGGTTTGACATAAAGCAGCCAATCACACCGAAGCAATGCAAGTGTTCACAAACAACCAGTTCAAAATACAAGTTTAATTAATTTTATAAGGCTAGCTGTACTATCGGCGTGATAAGCCGCATTAAAATATGTGTTTGGTCTAATTGTGGTCTGTGCACCTCTGTAATTCGTTGATAAAATAGAAGTATTCTGAGACTGACAATAAACAATTTTTGAGCGCAATCTGTGGCTTGCCGAATGCATATATTCTTTGGTTGCTAAAACCAACTTTCTTTCCCCCGTAGAAGAACACCTGAAAACAATAAAACAAAATATTAGGCAATTGTTTGCGGCAGGCCTACCTAATCACGATTGCTGGGTTTACTTGGCGCATTTGTCAAAGCAAATAGTCAAGTCAAACGTTGGATAACATTTGATAAGGTAAATGAATGTTCATTGCCTCAGCCGGAACCTTGCGTGATTACCGTAGGGAAGTTTTCCACGTCATTACATGAGAAACAGCCTCATCAAACAACCAGAAAATGATCCGCATTCACATTGTACTTAAGAAGTTCCGACCAACATATCCCATAAAAGGTTCAACCGTCTGCACGTGTGATCAATAAACTTTCCCTCGAAACGATGCTCCTATCGGATTATTGTCGTTTTTGTGTCCATGAAGTTAATTTTAAGGAGCATGTAGTCTCCGCACTCAGAAAGCACTTGATAGATGGAAATAGCTGATTTGAAACAGCGTCTTGCATAATTCTTACGTCATGTATATACAGGGGCTGCAGTTCATAAGTTAGGCTCTTGGGTTTGAGGCCACCACTGTTAGGACCGTCGGTGCGCTTCTTCGGCAAGCAGGATTATTAGGGCTGCGTGGAAAAGGGCTGGTTATTCGAATTGACACAGCAGTCGATACAGTCGGTGGGAGCTTCCGATGAGTCGAATGTTCCATTTGTATGAAAAAACATTACAGGCTACTTCCTTAGCCAATTCCGCCAACTTGCACGCAGGAATCGTCAAGCATTTGTACAACCTACGTTGGGCTTTTGATACGTGATATCCGTGCTTACTCTTTCAAGTGATTATTCTCAAGGTAAAGCTAGGTTTTTTGGCTAAATGGTATCCTCGACTCCAACAAGTTTGGTAGGAGATTGCGACAAGCCAAAGCTTCCAACTGATTGTCCGATAGAACGAACGTATTTCTCGTGAACCTTTCGAACGGCCATCAAAGTAACTTCTCCGATATCCGGAATCAAACCTCAGCTTTGAGCGTTCCATCAGCTAACTTCCAGAAGCCGTTGGCTGTTGAGCAGATCAGGTTGCATTTATTGCTGAGAATGAATTTTCACCACGAAATTTTCGTTTCGTGTAATGAGGATCAAGGCTATTGTGAATTGTAGTTTATTAATCCCGATTAAATTCATTCACTGCCTTATCAATAAACGAGCGTTCATCAAAGCCCACTCATCTAATAACCATGGTAGGAAAAATTCGGAAGGAGAATTGTTCCGTTTGGAAGATGATTTATATTTAGTATATATCAACAATTTTTGACATATCGTGGTTCTTCACACCTGTACTGAATAAACCTCCATAGGTGATGGATTCCGCGGTTTGATTTACGTCAGGTGAGCATATTTTCCTGAGGCAGCGGTCTTAAGTTATTGCACAATATTAGTTTGAAAATACAGGGTTAGGTAAGCAGAAATGCCTCACGCGTTATATTTTAAAAATACAGCAGGCATTGGAAGAGCATCTAACATTTTTCTGAACCACGGTTGAACCCAGAGCACGGCTTGCTTACAATTTTAGCCATTCATAGCGTTCGTTATCATCATCGCTAAAATCTGACCACGTGCAACGAGGCCGTTTAAACGACATCAAGCATAACGCCAACTACACCAAGTAAATGCTCTGATGTGGGATCTGCTTGTATCAATGCTGCAAACTTGTGACTGGTAGAACGAAGATGGGGAGACCGGCCATGCAGACGTTTGCCAAAAGCGGGCATTTCGCCAACGCGTCAGTCGTTAAATGTATTCCAATGGGCGATGTGTAAGCCTCCTAGAACACAAGAGGTACGTGGCAGGTGAACGGAAATCACAAATGTGGGCGGCCAAAAATGATGGCAATAACGTAGTGACATTAAGCATGCCAACCGATTCAGAGAGATGAAAATTTAAATGTGGAGGTTCTGTAAACATGCAAGTGAATAAGCTACATTAAGTGCACAAATTTGCCAGCTCAACGACTTCTCCGCTGCTATGAAATCACAATCTCCGACGTCTAAATATCTTTTTATGGGACAGGTTCCACAGACTATCTGGTCGTCCAAGGGATCAGCCTTTGAGTTACCATCAATCTTTTATCCTGTTTTAACTCAAATTGGACTGCTTCCAAAGCTTAATTCATTGGAATATCAATTCATTTTTCTTGATATACTCAACTGAATATCTCCTGCATGATATTCTGCAGTTGAATGTGTGACCCAAGGGCCCTTCTGTTTCACTTGGGGCAACACTCGAAATATTCATATATGAACTCAGTACAATGCTCATGAGGCTAATGAAATTTCTTGGACACCCAGAGACCAGTGGTTCTGGAACCACGCGAAATCTCCCGTTTATGTTGTGGCGAAATGCGCCAAGCAAAAATATCCGACGGGAGCATCCATTTACGCACCTGAGAAACGCCACTCAATTCGGAACTAGAATCTTAGCAGTGTAGAGAAATGGCACTACTTGGAAAACTGTAGTGCACGTTTTTTCTTTCATCCTGCACGTAATCAGTCTTTCGATGGTCTGGACTATTTGGGTGTGTTACGTAATCCAGCATGTGACAAGAAAGGATTACACCCACAATGTGGCGTCGGTAGATGGTAGAGTGCTTAATAAGCAGAAATAGATAGCGCAATGCGCTGTCAAAGACATACACACAACTGTCTGATGCTAATGGTGATGCTGCTGGTGTGATGAGCGATGCGAGTACAAAAGGAAATGACACAAGCCTTAAGAGGAGGGACATGGAGTGGCGGAAATTGTGCTGCTTTTTCACGGAGAATCTCGACTACACGTACACGTGTTGAGCGAACGCGCGTTCTACGTGCAAGAATTTAATCCATCCTCAGCTTTTATTTCTGCTTTCGGCTTCTCGGGAGTTTGCTGCTATTAACGGCTAATAAATTAACGAGTAGCTCAGCCTGGGCGAATGTTTTTCAGTGGCATATTGGATAGAAAAATTATATTCCATCACTGAAGGCGGTCATTTACCATTTTTTGGACGGTAATAATTTTATGAGCAGAATAACTCAACAATTCCACGCAGCAAACCCGAGTCATTATTTCCCCATAAGGGCTTACTCGGTGTGTTTGTCTAGCCTAATTCTCTTTTTGCTTCAACCGATTTGGCTGATTTCTTGGAACACAATATACACAAACAACTGTTTATTTTTTCAGTTAGAGTGCGTATATTTCCCTATACGGGTACCTCATACTCTGCAGTTGGTGCTACCAGGTTTCTGATGTAGAGACTGACCAAGCAATAACCGATACGATTTGGCATGGGGCAACCATTATAATGAAAGCATTTGACATATTCACCAACAACCAGTCTGGAGCGAAAGATAGATTTTTTCTTTCATGCTTACACCACTATCAGGATGATAAACCGCATGATAATGTGTTTGTTCCTGATATGATATCTGTAACCTTGCAATTTCCTGCTGAAATCAAGGTACTCATATGTTGGCGAGAAACAACTCATATGTTTGTACACCGTGACCGGTCGCGAGCACATTTTATCGACTATAAAATAACGCTTTTTTCAACGGTAGGTGGACACCTTCAAACCATGTTCAGGATGATGGAAATTTTAGTAGACTACATGTTATATGGAATGCTGCTGCCCGCAGCGATCTCTTTAAACATTTCAAGCCAGCAGCGAAAAACATGCGACTCATGGCAAATACTGGTAAATCCATAATGAAAACGCATCCTTTTTAACGCAGAAACGCTCTGCTATTTATTTGGTAACAATAATCACAACCTCCGTAACCCGCGGCATAGTAGATATCATGCAAAACCAATTTTATCCATCTCGTTTGGGGCAAATTGAGATATTACCGCAAAACGTTTGGGTGATTAATGCGAGACAATATGCTGCAATTTACTGGCTTCATTGTAATTTCAACTTCTTGACTTGAATTTGTGCTCAAGTTTTCGTGTCTGGAACTTTAGCAGGCAAGTGCGTTTGAGAAAACGTACCTGGAATAGAATTTTCCGAAATGCGCCACCAGGTTTTATCGAAATTATCCTCACATACTGTGGTATATTGTTTACAGTCTGTTTGTTTACAAACCTCTGTACAGCTCAACTGACACCCAAGTGTCAGCCGAGATTGAACGTCCAGGATGAATCCTCCATTGCGACATACACCACACTGCAACCAACTAAAGCCACATTCATGCCATTAAGCTCGCCTAAGCTAACGCAATATTTGAGTAACGGCGAAATACATCCACACCGTTGCATTGTAGTTTCCTGTTTCTGTTATACGTTCATGTAGAATGGTTTACTTTAGATCTTCAAGGAATTCAATCTACCTAAGAAATCAAGTCTGCAATCTCTAGAAAATCCAATCAATCCACTAGCTATACTCCTCTGCTAAAGCAGAAATTACCCATTTTTACCAAACCTGCCAGCCGCCAAAAGTGGGATCTGCTTCGTTTGAGTGCTTTATGAAAATGATAAGAATTCTGGTGACTATAAGAGTGGTCTTCCTTATGTAATCACGCGTATAGAGTCGCAATTAGTACTAAATGCTCCCTGCTATAAGTTAACCAGACTGGAATCACTAAAATCGCAAATAAATGTCCGCGCTTATTGGCCTCATGTTTTCTAGCAAAGTGTGGAATGTTATATCACACACTTTGTTGAATACAAGCGTGATCCTGAAGTCGGATGAAATCCCACATATCCACTTGGGCATTAGGTATGAGACGTACGTCAACGGTATTAATTTGGAATTCGATTCACAGAGCGATTCATGTAAGGACTACTTTAGATGCGATGAATAGTACCATTAACAGCGTGCACAACATGATTTATTGGTCTCAAACTCTTCCTTCAGTGAGGGTAGCTGCCACCAAAGGAGACGCTTCAGCGTTGTTCCTTGGTTAGAGCTTCACGTATTCATGTGTGTTTGCAAACGGTATGCGTTTCGAAGGGCATCAGTTTACTTCACACTTGAAAGTTCGTACAGGAGCACACTAGGACCAAGGATTAAAAGTTTCACTTTTCGCTCCTT